ATAATACTAAAGTCAAAGAAGTAAATCAACAGCCTCTTCTCTTGTGCTTTTAAAATGTACTTTCTTTGGGGTGTCGAGGATGATGCGGTTTTGAAAGATCAACAAAGACTTTCATTTCTAGGTTGTACAGATATTGCCAATGGCCTAGAAGATGCCCCCTCACAAAGAGTTACTCGAACTGGATTCGCATGGACTGAGTGCAATCCTGGGAGAGCCTGTTCTCAAGGAGAGGCTATCACTCTCTAGGCTCATTATGCCCCTACCCTAGAGTTCCAAAGAAAAATCTCTTAAACAAAGCTTAGGTGTGTCCCATGTCTAGGGCCTCCCCTTAGAGGGATTAATTAAAAAGGTACTTTCTAGAAAAGATACTTAATGTACAAAGTATATATCAAGTATAGGACAGCTATTTATTTCTTCTACCACAAAACAAATACCCAAAGCACCAAAGTCTCAGAAGCATGCATTAACAAATCCTTAAAACACAAAACACAACCGATCATACCTATTATACTTTCCTGCAAGTTAAAGGAACTCTGAAAAACTGTGGAACAAATATTTCACTCTCCCTCCAGACCTATCTGCCTGAGCATTTCACAAGGTCCATGCTGTCCTACCAATACACAGAATCCTGGAAAAAGTGGGCTCAAGTACTTATGTAGAAGGTAATTAATGGCTCCTGGACGTCCTTTTGCTGGAATCCCCAAGAAGATTCCATTGATTATGGTGTAGATTTTTCCCCCTGAGCTCCTTGGAGAACCTTGATTCTATATTTCACATCCTGTCTGTCCTTAACTCCCCATATAGACATCTGATTTGGAGTTAGAACTGTTGCTGCCCTAGGATCCCTGCTAAGACACTGATGAAAAATTCAAAACCTCTGGTCTTCCGGCATTCAAGAAGTTTTTCCTCCAACCAAGGAGGGTGGGAACAAAGGAGATCAAGGTGGAGGTGCTCTCTTCCCCCGCCAATCAATTCTGGAGGCCAAGATGCTCAAATCTTCAATTCCAAACTCCTGGCTTTATGTAAGCCCCACAGAGGATGACCAGGTCCCTCAACCAATTCTTAAGACTTCCTGCTGCACCTAGGGAGATGACCCGGCCTTATGGCCACCTAGTTCATAGTTTTGATTAACTGATTGAACCAAAATGCATCCTCACTGATAAAGGTAGCTGGGCTAAGTGGGCTAGGTTGATTGATTGTTGAGTTTAATCAGCTTCTACCCCTACACTAGAACCAAATCCAGAGCCAGGATCAGTTAAGACTCTGAGCCTCAATTCCTCTGTCAAATGCCCACTAAAGTCCCTTCCAAGCCCAATGTTCTGTTAGCCCTAAGAGGCAGCTAGATGGTGCAGTGGGTAGAGTGCTGGGCCTAGAGTCAGGAAGCCTCCTCTTTCTGTTCCTGAGTTCAAACCCAGCCTCAGACACATGCTAGCTGTATGACCCTGGACAAATCATTTAAACCCTGTTTGCCTCAGTTTCCTCATCTGTAAAAATGAGCTGGAGAGGGAAATAGCAAACCATGCCAGTATCTTTGGAAAACAAATAAATAAATAAGACTTGCTCCTGAGTCTCCTGTTCTCCAGTCCTGTTCCATTTGATACCATTATGGACACCTGACCTCCCCACCATCTGGCCTCAGAAACACTGAACTAATGCAGATGAAAAAAAAACTCAGAAATAATAATAAGGTCAATATCCAATCCCCACTTGGGAGACAAGGAGATTGGACATCCATCTCTACATCTTATGGTTCTGTGACTAGATAGCTAGATATTTGGACCCTTTCCTCTGGATCCCCATTTGTAAGATGGGCGTTGTACTCTAGAAGGCTGTAGAAATGAGTGGTCAGTATCTTCCATCCCTTAATGAGAGGCATTGCCTGCTCTATTGCGCCATCTAGTGGTGTAATCCCAGCAGTCCTCCCTTAAGCACCCCCGAGGCATCTCTCCTGCCTCTGCCTCCTCTTCCTTTTCTTGACCATCATCCTGAAGATGTGGGCTCTGGAGCCTGAGACCAGCTGAAGCTCCTGGTGCATCTAAAGTTAGGCTGTGCTGAGAATGCTGCCCTTAGGGGACAGCCCACCAGCATCAGTAAGGAGAAATTCAAGCCAGTCCCCAGAGCCTTCTAGAGGCAAAGCCAGGCTTTAAGAAAGACTTTGCAAGGAGGAATGGCCACTAGTCGGGGATGCTCTGGGAGTTCAGTCCCTAGTACTTAGCACATATTAAGCCCTTAATGAATGCGTTATACGTTCATCCATTCCTAGTTGCTGGTGTCTTCCCCCTAAAAATATCTTTGTACATATTTTATATTTCATTATGCATGACTTCCTCCAGGGCTTACTCTCCCAATCCACTCTCTCCCATTGATGGGTTATGTTCCCAAAGGACAGCTGACTACTTTCCTCAGGGTTTGGGGGAGAACCCCGAGGGACTGGGGTTTCTAGTACCACTGATCACCAGCTCCTATCAGTGTGCTCTGCCTTATCAATAAGCCAACTGAAATAAATTAGCTTTTAGAAAAGCAATTTACTGAGAAGGTACAGCTAGAACAAATTCCCCACGATCCAGAAAGCACACTCTCCCCCAGCATAAATAAGGTGAGAGCAGGTTAAAATTGAAAATACAAAGTTAGTGAGGGGAACTTGGTGCTTCTCACGTCCTGACCCTGGACCTCCTCTTCTCTCTTTGAGGACGCCTCAAGAAGTTTGCAAAGGCCTGGCTTTGGCCATGGATGGGTCAATCCAATTCTGGGCCAGGCCACTTTTCATCTGACGCCTGTACTCTCTTCCTTGCAATGCCACAAGGTCACTGCCTGGGCATCCTGTGGTGACCAGCTCAGGCACACTCTACTGTCTACTTGACTTCCTGGTGGGACCTCTACAGCTCTGGAACTCACAAAGGTGCCTGGATACTCTCACCTGGGGACATGTATTCACCTGAAATTGGAGAAGAGCAAACATAAAGGAAACAGAAGTACCACATGCTCCCAAACACATGGTGGCCAGGTAGAGGAGTGTAACCAGCTGCCTCTCCCCTGCCTGGCAACTCAGAATTGCCCTCCTCACCCACAAGCTGCCAGGGAAGAGGTGAAGGAATGGGTGGGTTGCACCTCTTCTATGACACTCAATTCCTGCTGAGCCATTCCAGTCTTTGGTCTTTCCAGCTTCTCAGTCTATTAGAAGACTTTCATCTTGACCAAAATGGCTCCCCAAAATTCCACATGGACTGACATCAGGAAGAGAATAGCTGAAGATACTTCAAGGACTGGGCCTCTTTGGCCAGTCCTTGAATTACAGATGCATACAAAGGGCTTTGCAAACTTTAAGGCCTGATTCATGTAAATGTCAGCTACTACCATCCTCTCTCCAATTGAAGGGATTTGGGGGAAGACAAGATCTATGATTGTAGCACTACTTGGAACTCTGTCATTCATAGTCTTAGAGACCAGGCTGGGAGCCCTGGGAAGTCCATTGTCTCACCCGAAATCATAAGCAATATATATCCAAGGTAAAATCAGAACTCAGGTCCTCCTGACTCCAACACCCGCTTGCTGGTGCCTCTATCTTGGCCTTTCTTTTCTTCATCTCTTTCCAAAGCCCAGGGAGTAAGAGAGCCCCCCGCCGAAGTTCCAGGCCCTATCACTAGTTACCCCAGCAGCGTTGGGGCTTGCCTCTCCTACCCCACTCCCAGGCGTTGTCCACCGGTCTTTGAGGCCTTCCAGTGGGGCTGAGCTGTCCCCAGTATTCCCTGGGAGAGAAACCAGACCTCCCAATGAAGGAGGGACAGTTGGGTAGGGAGAAGAGGCAGGAAGCACCATCTGGGAGTGCGGCAGTCCCTCTGCCCGCTCAGGTCCTTCCCAAAGGCTTCCATCTCCTGCTCTCCCCCGCCAGTCCCCCGGACCTGCTGCCAGCACCCTCTTCTGGCCTCCCTTCCCCTCCAGTAATTACTGCGCTAATTACAGCTCTTTGATGTTGCCCTTTTGAAGTGGTAACAATTGTCTGGGAAGGGGCCCCAAAGCAATTAGGCCTGGGAGCTCCTGGGGCCCAGGCAGGGGACCCAGAATCTGAGGATCCAGTGCTCAAAGGGACCTCAGAAATCCTCAAAATCAAATCTCCCCACTGGATATCAGAGGACACTGAAGCCCAGAGAGCAGAAGGGCCTTGTCCAAAGTCACCCAACTGAGTCAGAACTTGAACCCAAGGCCTCTGAGGCCAAATTCCAGAACTGGCTTTAGGCACTCAGACTAGGCCTGGAGAGGCCGCCTGGGACCCCCAGGACGGCCTGGGCCACAGGGAAAATCTCCTTGACGTAAGCACTGAGCAGTGGACAGTCGGGGAGGGCCTGGAGATGCTCCCCCTCCCACCCCAGGACCCGGGTCTCCTCCCCCTCCCCCCTCCAAGTAGCCTCTATGGGCTGCTCTGGGACAGGAAGCCGCGCTGTCCTGGCCGTCTGGCCTCTCCCTCCCACTCACTCCAGGGCCACCAGCCCAACCGTTAGCCCCGCTTTTTCCCTTTTGATGCCCCCTTTGATGGGCCTGGGGAAACAAGGGCCCTTTTCACAAAGAGCCCTGAGGACAGGACTTCAAAGGCTGCGACTGGTGGGGAGAGGGGACCCAGGGAAAGGGAGAGTCTCATCCCCACCCACTCCCTTCCCTCCGGCTGGCATCTTCGAAGGCGCCATTCATGACCCCAAGCTGGACACCGGGGCGGCCAGAGGAGGGTTTGTCCAACGGCCCCTCGGCACCCCCTACCCCACCCCTTCTAGCTCACCTCATCTGTCCTGTCCCTGCTAAGCCAGGGCATGGTGGGAGATCCTAGCCAGGGAGAGACAGACAGACGGAGTGGCTAGAAGTCTGAGGCCGAAGGCACCAGGAACTGAAGGACTGAGGGGCACCGCAACAGAGGGAGAAGAAAGAACTGGGAACCCAGGGAGGGGAGCTCTGGGGACCTCAGGAGCCTGGGGGGCTGCTCAGCCTGGTTCTCCCCAAGCCCTCAGGGTACGATGCTGCCAGTGGTGCTGGGGCTTCTGAGCCTCCTGTCCCCCTGGGGCATTGGGGGTGTGGGGGCTGTAGCCCCCAGGCAGGAGCGCCTGGCCAGGACCGCACTTCAAGGTGAGTCTGTTCCCTGGACATCCTGAGCATGGGAGGGAGGGGAGTTGGGAGGGGGAGTAGGCAGAAGTATGGAGTTTAGAGAGGGGGGTTAGGGAGAAGTAAAACTAGACAGGAGATTAAGGTTTACAAAGCCAAATGGGAATTAGGGATGAGTGTGAAGGTTAGGGGGAGACTTTAGGGCCTGAGGAGGAGTTAGAAAGTTTGTTGTTCACTCATTTTTTCAGTTACATCCAACTCTTCGTGACCCCATTTGGGGTTTTCTTGGCAAAGATACTGGAGTGGTTTGCCGTGGCCTTCTGGCTCATTTTACAGATAAGAAAACTGAGGCAAATAGGGTTAAATGACTTGCCCAAGGTCACACAACTAGTAAGTGCCTGAGGCCAGATTTGAATTCAGGTCCTTCAGATTTCAGGCCTGGCACTCTATCTACTGCACCACCCAGCTGCTCAAGTTGGAGATTAGGACAGGAATTTTGAGGTTGGGAAAGGTTGGAAGTCAGTAAGGAGGGAGTTAATTGAGAAATTGAGGTTATGGGAGGAGGGGGGAGGGAGGCATCCTAATAGCCCAACCCCTCTCATATATCTGCTCCATTCCTATTCGGGAGAGCCCTTCAGCCTAAAGCTTAGCTTTAGCTTTTCTCGGGTGGAAAAGGCCAAGGGCAGTGGGGACAGGTGGGACCATAACTAGACACTTTGGTACCTGGGGCCAGTGAGAAGATATTCACCTCAAGTCCACTTTTTGAGACAGATTAAGTCATAGTGAAAGTGAGACCTCAGGAGATAATGTGTGTCCATGAGCAGACGTACCAGGGCATAGAATAGGGGAACCCACCCAGACGCTGCTTCCTATTTTAATTAGTCATTCTTGCTGGTTGGGGGCTAAGCTCAGTCTTTCCTACACTGCTTGAAAGACATTACATTGGGTCTTCACCCTCCAAACTTTGATGCCCTGGCGCAAAGCCCTCATCACTCTGTCTTAGTTGCAGACCGCAGGGTCATCGATTTAGCAGGGACCTCACCTGGATTGCCCCTTCAAAAACCTTGGGCACATGACTAGCCCCTCTCTTTGACTGAGTTTCTGTATCTGTAAGATAAGGGGCAGGTCTGGGTACTCACTAACCCAGGCATAGATCTCCTGGTCTGATGACCAGCCCCGGTGCCCTCTGTTTCCACAGCTCTGTCTGAACAAGGGACTGTCCTGCTCAAGGCTGTCCGGAGAAAGGCCTCCCTGGCTGTAGAGAGGGCGACACTGGAATACAGACGCAGGCTTCTGGCGTGCCAGGCTTGTGTTAACCACACCTCGCCTTGTCCTGGTGAGCACCGAGGTGGTGGGGCAGGAACCCTTGCTTAGACCCAGCTCGTCCCTTCTCCTGGGGGCGGGGTGCTCAACGTTGCTCCCCCACGGTCCCCTCATAACCCTGTTTTTCCCCTCTTCTCTTCCCTCCTATATTCCTGTTCAAGGCTGAACTGTCCAGTCTAGCTCTTGACTAGCCCTCTTCCACCTCAGCCCCCCACCCCTCCCTGACCAGACCCCTCCCTTAGGCTGTAGGGATCCTGTGTAGGATCCTGTAGGGATCACTTCCTTAGGTCCCCTTCTCCCTTCCGTTAGCCCAAGGACAAGGTCAGAGTCCCTTTGGGGGAGTGGATGACCATTCATCAGGGGTGGTACAGAGAGGATTGCTGCTCAGAAATGGGTTGGACCAGGGGACCTTAGAGGCCCCTTCTAGCTCTGAGATTCTGGGATCCTGGGATGGGGATGTGTGCTGGTCAGAGGTGAGTATTGTGGTCCTGTCCCTTTGACCTCCCCAGGGCTTTGGAGCCAGCAGCTCCATGTCTACACCGCTCCTGGAAAACAGAAGCTGGGTAAGGGCTGCAAGGATGGGCAGAAGGTTGGAGGGGAGTATGGCCAGATGCTGGGGGATGTGGGAAGCCAAGGCAATGCCCAAGGGGGTGGAGCCCCATCCTCACTGCCCTTCCTCTCCTGCCAGTGACTTGTGGCCTTCAGAGCCGCGGAGCTGCCAACGTGACATGGGCCCGGGGCAGAATTGTGGGGGGCAAGGCAGCATCCCCGGGCTCCTGGCCGTGGCTGGTGTCGCTGAGGATGAATGGGCAGCCCATGTGTGGAGGTGTCTTAGTCGAGGATGCCTGGGTCCTCACTGCTGCTCACTGCTTTGCAAGGTGTGTCCCCTGGAAGGGAGTGGGGGGTGAGGAGAATAGGAACAGGCATCCAAACCTGACTGCCCCATATTCCCCACCTCCTATTATCAACGGCTCAAAAGGACTGTGGCTACAGCCTCAACCAGACGGTGGTCTCTGCTGCCCCCTGGTGGATGAGAGAAGTATCCCTAAGGCCATCCAAAAGCCAAGCCCGGGGAAGGGGAGGTGAACTGAAAGCCCCTGGGATGACCTATGTAGTTCATAGCATCAAGATTTAGAGCCAGCCGGGCCTCAGAGAGGCTGAGGGAAGGGTGGATAGAAGGCAGTCAAGAAGGACCTTGGTAGAAGGACCTTGGTTCGGCGTCCACCTCTGGAGCTTACTAGCTTTGTGACCTTGAGCAAGTCACTCCTCTGAGCCCATTTCCTTGGCTGTAAACTGGGAATAATGACGGCTAAAGTCCCTACCTCCCAGATGGAGGGTCAACTCAGATAATATATGTTAAGTGCTGTGGAGAGCCTGCCTGGAACTGGGAGAAACCTGGGCGCAAGTCCCTTTTCCAACACATACTGGTTGTATGAGACTGGACACATCATTCTAAGGGCACCGGTCAATTCCCCAGCTCTCTACAACTATACATTGAATAAGAGTCACTCAGCTGCATTAGTAGAAGGGGTTTCCTCCATGGAAGTTCCCTACACCAACAAAGTCACAGATCCACACCAAAAACAAACAATAAGCAGACAGGTAGAAGAACAGAGGAAGGGAGGGAAGGAGGGAGGGAGGGAGGGAGGAGGAAAGGAAGGTAGCAAAGGAAGGAATGAAGGAAGGAAGAAAGAAAGAAAGAAAGAAAGAAAGAAAGAAAGAAAGAAAGAAAGAGAGAAAGAAAGAAAGAAAGAAAGAAAGAAAGAAAGAAAGAAGAAAGAAAGAAGTCAATGCACAAACCCTCCAGGGCCTCAGGTCTTAATATTTCCTTACCATTCTTCCTCCTCTTCCTCTTCCTCCTCCTCCTCCTCCTCCTCCCCCCACTCACCCCTATCCCATCTCCAAAGGAAAAAGAGAGAAAACACCTAAATTAGATTAAACAAGTCTGAGTGGTGCAATGGATAGGGCTTTGGCCATGGAGGCAGGAAGCCCTGAACTTCAAATATTGCCTCAGACACTGACCAGCTGTGTGACCCTTAACAGTCATTTTGTCTGCCTCAGTTTCTTCATCTGTGAAATGGGGATAATAACAGTACCTACCTCCCTGGGTTGTTATGAGGATAAAATGAAATGCTATTGTTAAGGCACTTAAACTCCTCTATAAATGGTGACTATTAATATTATTGCCAACCCAGATATGATACAGTAGAAAAACACTGGAGTTAGAATTGCTGAGTTCAAATCTCACCTCTGTCAACTACTCCCTGACTTTACTTGACCTCGGTGTTCTCATCTGTAAAATGGACATTGGATTGGATGTACTCTGAGTTTTCTTTCAACTCTAAATCTAGAAGCCTATGTGTGAATCCCCTTCCCGAGACTTAAGAAGGGACCAGGAGAGTCAATAACCTCCTCCTTCCCCCTCCCCAATGACCACACATCTTGTGTCCCTCAACAGCCTTCAGAATGAGCTCCTGTGGACAGTGACCCTGAACAGTCCCCCTGGGGAGAGGCAGGAGGATGGGATCCCAGTTAACCGCATTCTGACCCACCCCAAGGTAAGACTCCAGAGCCCTTCCTTATCCCTCTCTCCAAACTGCTCCTGGCCTCTGGTCTCCCCAGCGCTCTGACTTCCCATACCCCTCTCCCTTCTTCCTCCAGTTTGATCCCCAGACCTTCCAGAACGACTTGGCTTTGGTGGAGCTGTGGGCGCCAGTGCCCCCATCCGAGTGGGCATGGCCTATTTGTCTACCTGAGGAGCCCAGGGAGCCTCCAGCAGGCACCCTCTGCTCCATTGCTGGCTGGGGAGCTGTCTACGAAGGTGTGACAGATGGGGGCTCTGAGCTAATGGGGTTGTAGATGGCTGTCTAGTTCACAAACGCAGCCCCCAGTGGGGAGGGAGATGGGAGTGGGTGGGTGTATGGGCAGGTGGAGGAAGGGGTCACAGGGGATGGAGCCAGGGTCCCAAGAGCTCTATGCCCAGCAGTGTCCTGTCAATCCCTCTCAGATGGACCTGCGGCTAAGGCCGTGAGGGAGGCCAGGGTGCCCTTGCTCAGCTTGGACACTTGCCGGACAGCTCTAGGGTCAGCACTTTACCCCAGCACCATGCTCTGTGCGGGCTCTCTGTCTGGAGGAGTGGACTCCTGCCAGGTAGGAAGGAGGGAGCTGACTGGAGCTAGCACCCTGCCAGAAGTGTGAGCAACATGGCTTCTCGTTCGTGGGGACGGCTGCCTAGAATGGAAAGAGCACTGGATTTGCCACTGGACGCCCTGGGTTCAGATTTCACCTCAGATATTACCTGAATGACCCTGGGCCAGTCCCTTACCCACCTTGGACCTCGATGCCCTTTTCCATACTGAGGGGATTGGCCCAGGGGTCTTCTGAGGTTCCTTTCAGCATTAAACCCCAGATTTTATGACCCTATGAACATAGGTAGGGGGTGAAGCAGGGATGTGATTAAGTCTCAGCAACCCTCCTACCCTCTTCCCTTATGAGTCACCGAGTGTGAAAGAACTTGGACGCCCTCTGAGCCCAGTCCCTTATTTTACGGGGTGGCCCAGATAGGGGGATGATTTGCCTGAGCTCACACAGTTGGTGGAGGGCGGAGACTAGAACCCCCCAGATCTCCTGACCCCCATCCCATTCTCCATAACTGTCACTTTTCAACCGTGCAGAATAGCTCCCTGGTCAGGGTGCAGGAGGGGCAACATGGTGTCCCAGGGGGCACCAGTTCCTCCTCCTTTCCATGTGCTCACAGGGTGACTCAGGGGGGCCTCTGACATGCTCAGTGGCTGGGCCCTCTGTGAGGGAGGTCGTCTACGGTATCACCTCCTGGGGGGATGGCTGTGGAGAGCCGGGCAAACCTGGTGTATACACCCGCGTGGCAGCTTTTGGGGACTGGATCCACCAGCAGATGAGTGGTAAGCGACCTCTCCCTACCTCTTCATCAGCCTTAATTTGGTTTGCTTTGGATTGGGTTTTTTCCTCCACCTTTCACCTTGCATGCTACCAGGAATTGGGGCACAGAGAAAAAAAAAAACTTCAACTTCAGCAACCATTTATTAAGCACCGACTACGTGCTAAGGTATTATGCTAGTGCTGGGAATGCAGAGACAAAAATGAAACCTTGAACTCACATTCTATTTGTCCATTCAACAAGCAGATATTAAGCACCTACTATGTGCCAGGCTCTGTGTTAGGAACTGGGGATACAAAGACACAGTATAACCATATCTGCCCTCAAAAACTTTACATTCTATTGGTCTATTCAACAAGCAGGCATTAAGTACCTACTATGTGCCAGGCTCTATGCTAGGAACTGGAGATCCACAGACAAAAATGACCCTAGTTCTAGGTTAGAAATTCAGACTCAGGCTCTGGTCCCACTCCACACCTTCTGGGCAAATCTTGGTCTCCCCTGTGTCTCTATTTCTTCCAGATTGACTCCCTTTCTCTCTTGTAGGATCGTGGATATAGAGGGGAATGGACCTTAGAGATCATTGAGTCCACATTTTACAGATGAGGAAACTGACCACAGAGAGGTTAAGTGACTTGTCCAGAGTCACACAGCTAGGAAATGTCTGAGGCAGGATTTGAACCCAGGACTCACAGACTCCTTGGATGTATTTACATACATGTTGCCTCTTCTAATAGAACGTAAGCTTCTTGAGGGCAGGGACTGTCCCCCTTTTGTCTCTATTCTTAGGGTGCTTAATGAAAGCTGCTTGAGCGTCTGATTGATTGAATGAATAGCACTGAGAGGGTGGTTCAGAGACAGAACTGTCGGCCAATGGAGTTCTGTCTTCTGCAGCCCCTCCTTCCAGCCGGGAGCCCAGCTGCCGGGAGTTTTTGGCCCTGGATGCTCAGGAGGACCCTTCTGCAGAGTTCTCTCACCTCTGCGCCTTCTACGAGCGCTCCTGCCCCGTGCCTCGGGGATCCGGCGCCTGCACCCGCCTGTCCCAGAAGAAATGTCAGCTGCACAAGAGGAGATGTGGTCAGCTTCTCCTTGCCGCTGGGGGGGACGATTGAGTGGGGCTGCGGCCAGGTCGGGAGGGGGGAACCTTGGAATCCCTCCTCCCAACCTGGCCCTGCCCCGTTCTGTGTCCCCCCCCCCAGAGCTGCGCTCTCTGGTCCAGACCCTGCTGAACCTACTCAGAGACGCTCAGGACTTCTTCTCGCGCCACTTGGGTCTGCTTCGTCTTGCGCGAGCGCTGCCTCACCTTGGCCTAGGGCTTCTGCAACATTCCTGGCTTCCTTCCCCAGCTCCGTGGCGAGGCCAGGGCACAGGTACCTCGATCCTCTCCGTGGGCTGGCCAGCTTTCCTGCCTCCTTTGCCCTTTCCCCTGAGACCTCATACTTCTTAGAGACCCTCGGTTTTGCCTGACACCCCACATATTAACCTGTGACCAGAGCCTTACCTAAGGCAAGGACACAGGGACTTTCCTTCAGGACCCTGGCAATGCTTTCTGTCTTTCACTGTGAGGGGGTGAACTTCTTTCCCATCTCCCCCCATCTTTTCCCCTTTCGGCAGCCTCCCTAGCAGTGGCCTAGACACAGTGTCTCAGGGTCCTTGTCTCCCCGATATGGGGTGATAAGCACTCCATTCCCTCCTCGGAATAACTTCCCTGCCTCTTGCCCTGAGCGCGGTTTGTGGTGCCAACATCCCAGATCCGACTGAGGATGCTTTCCCCCCTCCCCTCCTCCTGTGAGCTGCTACCTTCTCTCTCTCTGTCTGACTCCCTCCCAATGTCCTCATTCCCCCACTTTGGAACCAAGTCCTCACTGTTTCCTTCCTCCTCAGCTCCCCGAGGAGATGCTCCCCTACCCCAGGCGAGGCAGGAGCAGGAGGCAGAAGGGGAAGGTAATGGGTCAGGCCCTCCACCCGTCCCCTCACATCCAGCATTACCCCAAGGCTGTCTACTGTGGGTCTCTTTCCAACAGGAACCCCAGAGGGAGTGAGAGGAGAGGGGAAAGAGGCATGAAGTCAGGAAGAGCCCTGGGTTGGAATCCCACCTCTGCTAAACATTAGCACCTACCCTGGGTAGGCCCCTTCTTAAGCTCCCTGAGCCACAGCTTCCTGAACTGTGAAATGGGCACCATCCAGCTCAGAAGGTTGTAGGAAGAAAAATACTCTGTAAACTTTAAAAAAGAAATGTAAGTTACTATTAGAAAGGAAGGCAGGGCAGTGTATATGGTGAGTAGCTGAATGAGAGGTGGGGGAAGCAAAATGAAAGGACCGGACTTAGCAGCCTCTAAGGTCCCAGTTCTAGATTTCTGATGCTATGGGACCCTCTAGGCCTCAGTTTCCCCATTTGTAAAATGAGGGGATTGCTCTAAATCACTTCTAAAGTCCCTTTTGGCTCTAAACGCTCAGCATATGTGGATGCTGGGGCTCATGACGGCCAGGGGAAACTATGGTTCTAAAGTCCTTTGTAAACTGGAGTGCTGTCCCCCTCCCTTCAGGCTGCCCCGGGCTAGATGCTCTGGGCCAAAAGCTGGCTGCCCTTCGAGGAGCTCACACCTGGATCCTACAAGTGCCCCGGGACCAGCTGGCTATGGACTTTCAGGAGGTAGGGACAGAGCCCCTCAGGCCCCAGGCTTGTCACCTTTTCCTCCACCTTTCACCTTGCATGCTACCAGGAATTAGGGCACAGAGAAAAAAAAACTTCAACTTCAGCAACCATTTATTAAGCACCGACTATGTGCTAAGGTATTATGCTAGTGCTGGGAATGCAGAGACAAAAATGAAACCTTGAACTCACCCACAACCTGACCTGCCTCAGAAAGTGTCAGAGTCTGACCCCAGAAGAGGGGGGCAAAACAGGGAGGAGGGGGAGGATGCTGGGAGAGGGTACACACCTCTGCCTTGCTGACCTGCCCTTTTCCCTGAACAGATCCTGGCTGACCTGGGCTCCAGGACTCCGAAGGGACTCTTCCAGGCCCAAGTCAGGGCAGTCGTGGGGGGCCGGATAGTGGTCTTTGTCACCATGATAGGATTGGAGCCTGCCACCCTCACTCATAGCCTCCCTGGCCTTTTGGCCCAGGCCTTGAGGGCCTTCAGAGCTGGTTCCCCAACATAGTTGGGAAGGACTCAGTCCAGAGGCCCCTCTGGGACTGAGCAGGGGCTTGGCCCTGCTGCATGGAGATAGCAGGGTGAAGAGGACAAGCAGGGACAAGTCTCTTGGAGCTGAAGACCCCGAAGGAGGGGCCAGGAATTCAGGGCCTCAGGGGAGCCTCCCTCCCCCATCTTCCCAGCCTCCAGATGAAGTTTGATGGTTGGGGTGCCCTGTGACTGACCCCGAGGAGGACACTGAAGCTCAGGCATCCCTTAGCTAGCAGTGGGGGTAAGCAGGGATCAGGATAATGTAGTTATTTATCAGCAGATTTGGTTTATGGGGGGGGTGCGGTAGAGACACGGACAATTATCCCCTCCACATCGCGACTTTCCCCATCGTGGTTTCCATACATTGCGGGTCGGCATAAGAAATTAAATGGGAATTTGGGGGAGTTTGGTGGAAGCCACAGATGACATGTGAAGGCCAGCAGACAACAGAGAAAAAATTTAGAAACTCAGACATGCATAAAATATGTGTATAGTATCGTATGACCAACATATTTTATCTTTTAATACCATAATAATTCAGACTTCTTCTCTGGTATGAAGGGAGAGCCAAAAATATTTTATGCGGCCTTTCCAGATCATAGGGGCACTGTGCCCCTAACCTCCCTCTCCACTCCCCCCCTTCCTGCCCCCGGTGATATGGAAGAGATAACTGAGAACTAGCATTTCCATAATAAATGCCCCCCTCCACCCACAAGCTCCCCTGGAATTGGGCCAACAAGTAAAGACCCAGCAAGCTTTGGGGAATAGATGGTGGGAGCACAACCAACCTTCATCTGGAAATAGAAGAAACTTCTCTTCTGAAGAGCGAGGGGGCGGAGTGGGGGCCTATGGGTACGGAATGCTATATAAAACAGCAGACTTCTGGGATGTGTCGGCTAGTTTTGATGGATTGTTTCCCCTTCTTTTTTATTCTTTGTTATAAATGATGACTCTTTGGGAGACAGAAGCAGGATCACAACAGAAAATGTGGTTGATAGAAAAACAAACGATATCAATTTTGTTTTTAAAAGCAGCTACAGGAGGTATTCGGGGTCCGGGGCCTCTTAGTAAATTGTAGGTGTTTGACAAATGTTCCTTTTCCCCTCTCCCAATAAACTGTTGTACGTGTGAAGATCCTGAAGGCCAAGGGTCATTTCTTTTTGTCTGGGTTCCCGAGACTGGCACATGATAGACATTTAATAAATATTTGTTGAATTGAGTCGGATTTCCTAGGTGTGAATGTCCTAGGTGTGCTGCTTCCGGATAGGGCACAGGCTGGCCCCTTCAGGGAAGGGCTCCCACCTAGAGGTGGGCCCCTCGGAAGGCAGCTGTCCCTTCCGGATGAGTGACAGCCCCAGCCGGCCGGCCGCTCTCCATGCCCCTGCCCAGCTCGCCCACAGGCCCCTCCCTCATGCCTCCTCCTTGATGGGCCGCGGCCCCTGCTGGGCTCCCTCCTTCCCGGTCCTCTGGCCTTCCTCCCTCCGCCTCGCCCTCCACGAGCCCCACAGGGGTGTCCGGTTGCTGTTATAATCCCTTCATTTCCTCTGCTCCTCCTCTCTCAGCCCAACACCACCTGTCCCTCCCTTCCCCCCACCCCCACCCCCATCCTATCTCCATTACTCAGCACCCTGTCTAGGACAGTAGGGGTCAGGTCCAGGGCTGCAGACCAAGGGAACGGAATGGAGGGCTGGACACTGGGGCTGGGGCTGCTCACGGCTCTGGCCGTCTCTGGTAAGGACCTGGCATCTCTCTGATCCCCATCTCACCCCCCAGCACTTTCCCATCCAGGGGAGGTGCCCACCCTTCACCGACACTTTCACTTTGGCCCTTCCTCCCTGCCCCCAGCCCGCCATTCTCCACACGGCCCAGCTCCCAAGATTCACACATGCTCCCCCCCCCACCCAGGACCTTCTCCCTTCCTTCAGTCCTATAAACCACCCCCCCCAAAGCCTGCTCAAGGACCCAGCCTCCAGGGGCCTTTTCAGACACTCTGTCCAGCTCCTTGCAGCAGGACAGTGGTCAGAGTGGAACGCCCATCCAGGCTCCCCACTGGACTCGGCTGGATCCTCGGGCCCCTCCCCAGCCAGTCCCTTCTCTCCCCAGGTGCCTGGGCCCTGAATGAGGAGGAGCGCCTCATCCGCTATCTTTTCCAAGAAAAGAGTTACAACAAGAACCTGCGGCCGGTGGAACGCCAAGGGGGCAAGGTGGACGTCTCCCTGGCCCTCACCCTCTCCAACCTCATCTCCCTGGTGAGTCCCAGGCTCTTTGGGGCCCTGAAGGTCATCCGGGCCCCCTGGGGACAGTGACACCCTTTGCCCCCAGGCTCTTTGAGGCCCTGAAGGTCATCCGGCCCCCCTGGGGACAGTGACACCCTTCGTCCCCAGGGTCCTCTGGGCAGCTGCCCGGGTGGGCCAGGTGGGGCGGGGGAGCAGGAGGGGGAGCTGCCCCCCACCCAGGCAGTACCCCTTCCCACGCCTCCTCCTGTCTTCGTATTTCTTTGGAGTGCGCATATGCTGTTTCCTCCCAGTAGAGTGGAAGCTTCTTGAGGGCAGGGGCCGGTTGGTTTTCGTCTGTGTATCCCAAGGCTTGGCACGTGGAGGGGGAGGGTTTATAAACGCTTATTGACGAGTAAAGAAAGAAGAAGAAGAAAGAAGGACGTTTGGAAAGAGGGGAAGAGAGGAGGCAGATGGGCTTAGCTTTGGTAGGTCATATGAAGTCTGACACAGTCCACTAAAATTAACTGAAACAATACCTCGAATAAAGCAGCAAGATCGAAAACAAGCCTCTGAAAAGAGAAAAGGGGACAGAACGGGGAGGTCTGCTCACGAGGCGTCATGGGCCCGGAGAAGTTCTGTAAGAAAAAGGGCCTCGTCCCCCAAAAAGAGACGCTGGAAAGGTCCCTCCCTCAGCCAGGGGTGGGGGCCTATGGGGGTGAAACAGCAGGTGCACTGTCAGACTTGACTGATGTGTGGATCAGCTTTGCTTCCTTGTTATAAAGGATGGGAGGGGGAGGGAAAGGTAGGAAGGAATACATGGGGAACTGTAGGTCATACGGAAATAAATTATATCAATACATTTTTAAAGTGTCTGAGCTAATGTGCCCAAAGTAAAAATCAGTGTGGTAGAATAGGTAGAGAGCAGAGGACTTGGAGTCAGGAAGACCTGGGTACGAATCATACCTTAAATACTTACTGGCTGGCTGTGTGACCCTGGGCAAGTCACTTGACCTCTGTTCGCTTCAGTTTCCTCAGCTGTAAAATGGGGATAATATCAGCACCTCCCTCCCCTCCCCCAGTTGCCACAAGGAGGGACAGCTTGGTACGGTGCAAAGATTTCCTGCATTTGGACTCAAAAGACCGGAATTCGAATTCTGGGACTGCCACTCACCACCTTCATGACTTTGGGCAAGTCTGAGGGAGGTCCCTTTAGAGCTAAATCTGAGTCTGTTAGGATCAAATGAAATAATGTATTAAAGTCACATGGAAATGTCTATTACTGTCCCTGTGCTTTCACTGGTCTAGGGCAGAGGTGACTAAGTCTACTTGGACCCAGCAGCCCAAGCCAGATTAACCTGTAATTGGGAAACATTGAGCCCTATAGATAAAAATACAAAACGAAACATAGATAATGTTAATTTGTGATTTTCTAAGTCACTATCAGCCCACTGGGATCTGTTTCTATTTGAGCTTGACTGTACTGGTCTGGGGAACTCCCAGGGAAGAAAGTCTCTTTACTGGCGTAGATTGCAGCTCGCCCAGTTATAATTTAGAGGGTTGTCTGGGACAATGGAGGGAAGTGACTCACCCAGGGTCACACAGCAAAGATGTGTCAGAGGTGAGACTTGAACCCAGGTCTTCCTGACTCTGAGCTCACCTTTTTCCCCACTTCAGCCTCTTCAATTATTGTTACTAATGTTTTAAAGTAAAGAGGACTGTGTGCAGACTGGGACTCCTGGCATCACAACCTCTTGGACAAGCATCTGCCACTCCCCCACCCCTAGAGGTCTAGACATCCCGGGGCCTGGATCACCACCCTCAGGCCGAATTTGGGGCAGCTGGGTGGTACAGGGGATAGAGCACCGGCCCTAGACTCATGAGGACCTGAGTTCAAATCTAGCCTCAGACACTTACTAGTGGTGTGACCCTGGGCAAGTCACTTCATCCCAATGACCTCCTCAATAAATAAATAAATGAAGGCCTAGGACCTGGGACCCAAGGTCAGCTCTCAACCTACTCTTCCCCTTTCAGAAAGAAGTTGATGAGACCCTCACCACCAACGTGTGGATCGAGCACGTGAGAAAGTCCGGCGTCCTGGGTGGGGATGGGAGTAGGGGAATGAATCCTCCCCCAGGCGAGGCCCCTTTCTTGGCACCCCACAACTCCTGGCCCTTCCCTGGGGGTGCCCGCCTCAGGCTGAAGAGGGATGAGGGGAGGACTGGGTCTCCACGTGTCCTCTGGGTCTCTAGGGCTGGATGGACAGCCGACTCCAATGGGATATGGCCAACTTTGGGAATATCAGCGTCCTGCGCCTGCCTTCGGACATGCTGTGGCTCCCCGAGATCGTCCTGGAGAACAGGTGAGCCTGCGGTCCTCCCCTCCCCCTCCAACGCTTCCCCAAGGCCCCCCTCTCTCAATCGAGCAGCCCCGGCCCCCTCCCCTTCCCCTCTTCCGGTCTCCTGGGCCCAGCTCTCCCCACCTTCTCCTAAGGGGCAGCGGATGGAGCCGAGGCCCCAGAGTCAGGAAGACCAGTGCTCCGGAGCTGCCCCAGACACTGTCTGACCTCTCTCAGCTCCACGTTTCTCATCTCCACGGAAACAAAAATAGCGCTTACCTCCCAGGGCAGCCATGGCAGTCAGATGATAGAATCCGTGGAGAATATTTGGCAAACCTTGGAGCTGCTATCCCCCGTGGGGTTCTTCTGTCCTCTTGGGGCCCAGTCATGCTAGCCTGGCCTCTATCCCCC